TCTGCGCGCCGCACGGAAAAAAATAAAAATCAGATTGGTGCTAAACGTCATTAGCAGGCCCATATTAGCACCGGTGCTAATAATACTTGCTAGCTAGTTAACGGGCTCAGCTAGGCACGATTGTCGGTTTAGCTATAGATCTAGACCTCAATTAGCTGTCGCAAAAACAGTCTGGTCTGCATCTTAGTCCATATCCATCGAGAAGTGTCATGCCCAGATGAATCATTTTGCTGGACTGCTAAATGTGCAAGCTACACCAAGAAACACTGTTCTCGTCTCTCGATTTAGAAGTTCATAGATCTCCGCTAGATAGCACCACCGACTAAAGTTCTCCGTTATATCTCGATGGGTGCTACGGGTGTCAATTGCTTTGGGTGTTTGGAGTATTTTGCTCCTACAAATTAATTTCCGGGGCGACAAACGTTAGTCCGTCCAGCGCTGGGACCGGCAGACGGACGTCCATCTTGGATGTCTGATGTCTCCCAATTTCATTTTTATTTTTCCAGAAGGGCAGAAACTTGACTCCGGCCACAAGACAGCGCGATTCTGACTCACATAGAACAATCGAATTTCGTGAGGCAAAAATATGGAGTAACTAAATAGGGGGAAAAAATTAGCAATTTTGTAATTTGAAATAGCACTGGTGCAAACGGACTGTTGTGAATCTAGCTAATGTCTTCCAGCTAGCTACTTTTAGGTGTACAGTTAAAAATTTAGCTGGGCCTATACAGACGAAAAAATTAGCACCCGTGCTAAATATCTAGCACCACCGCCAGATTTTTTTTTGCGTGCGTCCCTGGCCGCGCTCCAGGCGTCGTGACGTCGGGACAACCTGGCGTTCACGAAATGCGCCCTGCGCCCCGTTGTCATGAAGTCAGTAGCCTGTCCCAAAAACCGCCCAAAACAAGCTCAAAACAAAACAAAAAACAAATTCTGTGCACATTTTTATTTTTCTCAAATACTGACATAACGCTCAATAGACAGCACGTTAAAATGTTGCTGCAACAGGACGAAATCTTGGGTATAGTGCTTCAGTAGCCACTGCAGTCCTGGAAAAACAAAACAAACAACACTGTAAAAAGTTGTCCATGCCATTTTCGAATTTTTAATAACAAAACAGAACAAAAATGATGCACCAAACAATACATTTCTCTAACTTAAAAAAAAAGTCATTTTCAACAATTTTACTTATTGGATGGATCTTGAAGAGTGAAAATGCGCCCCCCCCCCTTCAGGTTAAAAGTAATGTTGTTCTGTTAAGTTATTTCCTGGACATACCTAAAGATTTCAGATTTGGTCATCGATTTTGTTTTAAGATTCGAAAAGAAAGGGCATTC